GTGCCCCTTTTGTGGCAGGTCAATCACTTGTGTGATAAAAATCTGTGTCTGTTTTTCCACAATTTCAGCTCCTTTTCTATGGGAGAGAAGACTCTCGCTCAAAGCAATCTTAGCAGATTTGAGGCTCAGTACCTGCTTCTGAAGCTGGGAGACCGAATCCCTGAGTTCATGATTATCTTTCATCACTTTGTTCACTGAACTTAGGAACAACTAACAGCTTCATTAAGTTCCTTGGCTCTCCACATATAATCAAAGGTATTATGTATAGAGTCACTAAACTCCTTGCCTCTCCTGAGTGGTGAATCAGGAGTGTCAAGTGCATTTATTTGCATAAGTCTCTAAACAGTTAATGCCAAGGCCTATCAGTGTTTTCCATACTATTAGAAGTACAGTCCTTAGCATTTGGGGTCTAACCATATTAAGCAGCTAACTCCAGAATCCCCAAAACCAATAAAAGAATTCGATCCTTAATATTCTCTTCCACTAGAATCACTCCCGGTACCAAAATTTGTATTAGTCAGAGTTCCCTAGAGGGACAGAATGAATAGGATAGATGCTTATATATAAAGGGGAGTTTATTAAGTATTAACTTGCATGATCGCAAGGTCCCACAATAGGCTGTCTGCAAGCTTGAGCAGCAAGGAGAGCCAGTTGGAGTTTCAAAACCAAAGAACTTGGAGTCTGATGTTCAACGGCAGGAAGCATCCAGCACGGGAGAAAGATGTAGGCTGGGAGGCTAGGCCAGTCTCACATTTTCACATTTTTCTGGCTGCTTTATATTCACTGGCAGCTGATTAGATTGTGCCCACCAGATTAAGGGTGAATCTGCCTTCCCCAGCCCACTGACTCAAATGTTAATCTTCTTTGGCAACATCCTCACAGACACACCCAACATCAATGCTTTGCATCCTTCAATCCAATCATGTTGACCCTCAGTATTAACCATCACAACATGTTTCTCTGAAATGGCCCTGCAAAGTGTCCTTCGTGGGGGAAAATCTGCATTTGTAAAGAATCTCTATTAACATAACTAGATCTTTTTCTTCCAGGCTCTCTCAATCCTGAAGAGATAAACTAAAAATGTAGCACTTTTTAAAGACCTGGCTTGTTGTTGCTTCTGGTTCTGGGAGAGACTTATAGAGAGCACCAGAATTAAAACACTCCACTAGAACTAACTTGTTGCCCTGGCATTGTTTTCTAGTTGGGGGAAGATTTACAGAGAACACTGGAACTTAAACACTGCTTTAGAAAGAAATCACTGTCCAGTCATTTCTCCCAGTCTGAGAAAGACATAAGCAAGCACTGCAACTTAATCCTGATCTTTTAGTTGTTTCCAGGCCAGAGAAAGGTTCCATGTGAGCACTTGGGCTTTGTGAAAAACCTGGCTAGGAATTTGGGCCTTCCCACAGATTGTGCCCCCTGTGGTGCTATGATGCCAGCCAATCTCTTCAGTGGGGTATCCTCACTGTTTGGAGCACTGAGTAGACACCATGATTCATGTGCCAGTCACTGCAGTCAGCACCTCAATTCACCCCAGGTGGTCCGGTCCTCCTGGCACTCCCAATAGTTCCTGTGGGAAGGGACCAGAATGGGGCTTCCCATGAAAACTCCCAGATTAGTGGTGGGATCGGATGTTCACCTCCAATTCTCTCCTCTCACCTCAGCAACCATGTGTGTAAGGAAACGTTCCTGGGTATAAGCCAGGTTCAGCTGCTTTTTCTTGTGGCCCAATAAAAAGAAGCAGACAAACTAGAAAAGAAGGGAATTTATTGCTGTTACAGGGTACAGGGAGAAGGCTGGAGATAATTCCATCAGACCAACTCAAAGTGTTGAAATTTTCTTCTATAGATTGGGGTTATGTGCCTACATGCAGTATAGCATTTGTCTAAGTCTATTGATAACTAATTTTGTTTCAACTAGAAGGTCAGAGGCAAACAAACAAACAAACAAACAAACAACCAAAAAAAGCTTGATAAGTCTGATTAAGCTGTGAGCACCCCAGTGCCTTCAAGTCCTGTCTACTGTGGTACCAGAGTGATTATTTCTATCTTATCTCCTTTACAGCTTGGTCTGGAGAGCTGCCCTAGACTCTCCAATAAAACTATTCAAACAGCTGCCTCTGTTACCTTGACTCATCTCAGGACCCGAGACGGGTCCTGGCACTAAGAATGTAAGGCTGTCCCTATTATTTTGACTTGCTCCAGGTTAGGGAGAAGCTCATACAAGGCTCCTACTGACCATATGTTTCATTTCCTTGATGTCTGGGCACCGATTTCCCTAGGTTTAACTATTTGCTCAATGTTAAGGTAGCTCTGTGGAAATTTGTCTATATAAGTGGAGTGCTATGCAGGCCTGTCTGTGTGACTGTCATGCAGGCCTGTCTGTGTGATTGTCAGGGAGAAGTGGCCGGCCACAGAAATGCTCCATGGAAGAGGAAGGGTTGGGGAAGGCTTGGCCGCTTGGGAAGGGTTGGCACAGTTTAAAATGGCTATTTCTCTTACTGGTGGTGGCTTGTTTTGATTCTGTGGACCAAGGGGATTTTGCCACTTCTCCCCTAAGTTCTGTTGCATTCAGGGATTCAGGGTGGTATTTTTGTCTTTGAGTATTTTCTAGTTATATTTTTTGGTAGGGAGTCATGCCAGAGAATCTTCTACTCTACCACTTTGCTAACTTTCTTGCTCTCTCTTGTTTTTCAAAGCCATGTCTAAAGTATTTTAGTTCTCTAAAAGTATAGGGAGCCTCAGGTGTTGCTTGAGGCTATACCAGCCTGGAACCTATTAGTTTCTCTTCACAGACATAAGGACCCAGAGGAAGGAAGGAAGAGACTAGAGTGACTGGCTCACATTGAATACGATCTGAATAAAGACTGGCAGTGAGCATAATATGAACTATATTATGCAGCCCTCTTAAAGTGCCATTTTCTACCTTGTCATATGTTATAGATTGGCATTTAGCTTTTATTGCTGTAGAAGACTGGAAAAGAAAGGGAGAACTTCTTTGTTTCTACAACACAAGAAGTTGTCATATCTTTGGGCCTTGATGGTTCAAGTGGAAGTTAATAGCATTAGCATTACATTCTTAGATACCTGAAAGACAGAGGAAAACCTCTGCTCAATCTTTAGGCCATTTATAACAGAAAGAGAAACTTTGATAATGCCAATCAGCACTCACATATAAGGTACTGAACTTTTTGTACTAGGACAACTGCAGATTCCTGGGTTTCTCTGATTCGGTAAGAAAGGTGGAAGACACCTAGAGTAATAACTGAGCTACATTTTGCTGCCACCTTCAATAGTTGGGGTTTCGGTACAGATATGTTGGATTTAGAGAAGGAATTAACATTTTATTTACACCTGAGTTTGAGAAGCTCATTCACACTGCACATGTTTAGAAGGTATTTTTAAACTATTTGTGGTCTTTGAATCTTATATTTGGTGTCTTTAGAGATTCTTATATTGTTTTTTGTTTATGGTGAAATTTTCTATGCACTCATGTATGTGGTATGCGATTCAGTTTATGTGTGTGTAATCAAGTATTTCAGTAATTTTCTTTGTGAATGTGCTCTTTTTTTTTTTTTTTTTTAAATAAGAACATCTTTTATTTACTCAAAAACTATGAATAATGTCAGGCCTCGGAGCCAGAGCCGAGCCATCGCATCCCCTGTGACTTGCACTTATACGCCCAGATGGCCTGAGGTAACTGAGGAATCACAAAAGAAGTGCAAATGCCCTGCCCCGCCTTAACTGATGACATTCCACCACAAAAGAAGTGAAAATGGCCGGTCCTTGCCTTAAGCTATGATATTATCTTGTGAAAGTCCTTTTCCTGGCTCAATCTGGCTCAAAAATCTCCTCCACTGAGCACCTTGTAACCCCCACTTCTGCCCGCCAGAGAACAACCTCCCTTTGACTGTAATTTTCCTTTACCTACCCAAATCCTATAAAACGGCCCCACCCTTATCTCCCTTCGCTGACTCTCTTTTCCAACTCAGCCTGCCTGCACCCAGGTGATGAAAAGCTTTATTGCTCACACAAAGCCTGTTTGGTGGTCTCTTCACACGGACGCGCATGACAGGTACCATTCTCAGTTCAATCATGGGTGTAAAGGTTTGAGACATAAATATTGCCTCAAAATGTTTGTGAAAATTTAAAGCTGTTAAAACTTATATTTTTTCTACCGGATTTAACTAAGAGACACCCTGGGATTTATTCACAAAGGTTAGTCTAATTCTAAGTTTTGAAGTTTTATAATCTGTCTTTTCTCAACCACTCAAACTAAGGCATAGATTTTCCTGATGCTGAAGAAAATTGAGTTTACTGATATAAACATGTGGGAGTCTGGAAAAATAGCACTTAATATTTAAGAACATGCCCAATCCAGATCTTAAAACCTCACTTCTTCAATGACATTTTGTTATTTTTTTGAATTTGTAAAATTGTCTCTTTTAAAGATTAGAATAAAAAATTACCCAGAAATATATCATTCAGAAATAACAACTTATTTTCTATTTTTTTTTCTTTTCTTTCCCATGTAATCTATATTTCTGTTAATTGGGAACATGCTATAGATGGAGAGTTTTGATTTTCCCCCAGCTAAACAGCAAAGCACGTTTATTACTTTCAGATTCGGTCTCTATTCCTTTTTGTGTAATAGGGAACAGCCCTTCTGTCGACAATTGGAATTCTGTTGGGTTTTAATTGTGTAGTTTTGCCTTTACTTCTGAAAGAGGACATGTGTTTCAGGTAGCCAATCAGAGTGCCCCACATCCCTGGATTTATTCATGTGGCAGAAGCACGGCCAATCAGAAAAGTTATTTTCCATGTTGGGTGAAGGTGGGAGAAAATGGCACTTCCTACTGTGACCCTAAATATAAGGCCACAAAGGGGCAGTGTCTCTCCATGTAATGACTGCGTAGGGTCTCTCATTACATGGAGAGACCCTACGTGAGAATAAAGTGAATGTACAAAGGAGAGTAGAGTGGGAGAGAGTAGGAACAAGAGTCTAGTCAAGAATTTGATTTCTGTCTCCTGTCCTACCTCTTGGACTTCCAAGTTCTGTGAGTCAATACAGTGCCCCTTGCATTTAAGGTAATTTGTTTGGAATTTTTCTCACTGTCAACCAGGGAGTCCTACTACTATAATATTATATCACAAAATATTTAATATCTCTAAATTTTTAATTTTTTTTCTTTTTTCTATTCTCTTTGTTTCTCAGATGATCTAAAATTTTATTAATTAATAAATTTGTAAATTCTGGAAAATAGCCCATTCTAAGAATATACAATTCTATGCACATAAAATACTGAGTGCCTCAATAAATATTAGCTCTTATAATAATAATTATTGTTGCAATGTTTATTGTCATTTCTATAAATACATCAGACTCATTTTAACCTTTTCCTTTCCCACCTTTTTGGGTATTTGTATTTTAAAATTTCAGTTTTTTCCCCTTTTAAGTAAAATTTGCTGTTTGTCTTTCAATATAAATTATTGCAACTTAGAATTCTAGCTATTGAAATGCTAGAGGAAAGTATCAGCTATTCTTTTTATTGTATTTCTCAAATTTTCCAAAAAATTATAACAATTTCTTTTTGACAGAAACATCTCATCACACTTTCATCAGCACTGAGTTTGTAAGTTATTATATTTATTGTCAATTTAAAAGATTTAATTTAGTTTTTCCTTTTGTGATTAAGGCTATATAATTATTATATGATCATGATTTATTGATGCTTCATTATATAAAGTGTTCAGAAATTTTTTAAAAAATTAATTTAATTTAAATCAGTTTTAAATTTACATTTTAATTTTAAATTTAAAAATTTAAAATACCACTTAATAATCCTTCTGAAATACATTGGTCCACCTACAAGCCCATTACTTATTCCAGTCTTTTCTTTTTACTGTAAACTTCTTATGTGTGTGTTTAAATACAGAGTTCTGATCTGGGGCTCAGATTTTAGGAAGAGAAACTAGATAGACAACCTTTCCAAGGCCTTTCTCAGTCTGCAAATCTAAGTTGCAATAAACCTTCCAAGCAAGTGTAAAAACAGGGAGGAAAAGCAGGGACTTGAACAGGTATTTGTGTGCCCATGTTCATAGCAACATGATTCACAACAGCCCAAAGGAGGAAGCGACTCATCCCATTCTTCTTCCAAGAACATTTGCTGAAAAGGCCAAACATTTTCCCTACTGTTTTCTGATGTTTTCTTTTCACAAGTTCATTTTAATGCATATTAAGAAATTCCTCCTTCAACTTTAGTGAACTAAGAATCACCTTTAAATTTGTTTAAAATGCAAATTTCTGGATTCATCCACAGAAATTTCAATTAGTGAGAACCCAGGAAAAACCAAGACGCCTATATTCCCCAGGTAGGCCAGGAGTTTCTGCTGTGTGAGATTACCAGGCAAAAACTTCAGAAACACTGAGTGATCTTGTTTCAACACTATTTATTCTGTGTTCTCCCTCCCTCCCTCACTGCCACCCTGTCTATCTCTCTCTGTCTCTCTCCTCTGTCTCTCTTTCTCCCATTTACTGTTAATCCTCATTTCTACCACCTGTCCCAGGCACCCTATAATCTACTTTCTGTTTGTCTCCATAGTGAACATTTGAATAAGAAGAGGAATGAGTGTAGATTGCTTTATGAGATATCAAAATGTTTCACAAAATGATAATAAGTACAGGTACAGTGGAGTGCACCGGTAGTCCAAGCTACTTGGTAGGCTGTGGGAGGATTCCTTGAACCCAGGAGTTCTGAGTCAACCCAGGCAACATTGTGAGACTGTGACTCTTAAAAAAAAAACCAGTAAAATTATAATAAGTAAAACAGCATATTATGGCACATCAAAACAGAAAAAAGTGTTCAGAAACAGAATTACGAAATATAGAAAGTAGCTTTTAAAATTAGAGATGAGGCCGGGCGCAGTGGCTCAAGCCTGTAATCCCAGCACTTTGGGAGGCCGAGACGGGCAGATCACGAGGTCAGGAGATCGAGACCATCCTGGCTAACAAGGTGAAACCCCGTCTCTACAAAAAAAATACAAAAAAGTAGCCGGGCGAGGTGGCGGGTGCCTGTAGTCCCAGCTACTCGGGAGGCTGAGGCAGGAGAATGGCGTGAACCTGGGAGGCGGAGCTTGCAGCGAGCTGACATCCGGCCACTGCACTCCAGCCTGGGCGACAGAGCCAGAGTCCGTCTCAAATAAATAAATAAATAAATAAATAAATAAATAAATAAATAAAATTAGAGATGCGACAATAGCTTTTTTCCCAAATAATTGATGCTGAGATTATGTATGAATCATGTGAAAAAAGACCACACTAACTTCTTACTATGCATTAAAATAAATTCCAGGTGGTTGAAAGATTTCCAAGAATCTGTAAGAGTAACAGAATGGAGTAGAAAAAAAAATACACATACTTTGAGATGAGAAAGGATTTTGAGAAGAACGAAACCACAATTGAATTCATAAATCAAGAGTGAAGAAGGTTGCAGATTTAAAGAACAAGACAGTATTCTGGACAGGCCCTATGCATGTTCTCGGGCAGTAGAAAGGGCAGGGCCACAGCTGCCTGAATTCTGCTTCTCACACGTGTACTGTCCATGTTCTCTCCAGATCAAGATGTTGCAGAGGCTCTACGTTCTCGTGAGAATATGTTCTGAGCTCTCTGGCCTGTCACCATGGGATCACTCTTCTGAAGAGACTTCCTGGAGGACACTGATGAGAGTGTGAAAGCAGGGATGGGAGGAAAAGCAGGGAGGGAGGGACAGTGTGGCACACGGCCACCCCAGAGTGCCCATTCTCACATCACTATTTTACGCAGCTTTTTCTTTTCTTTTCCATTCTTTGCACTCCTATGCTCAACTTTCATATTGTCTCCACTTTCTGATGTGTCCCCCAACATCCACCTCTCTTTAATTCCATCATTCTCTAACCTTTCTACACACATATGAACAAACTCAGTATCCAGCCTAGAACAGGAGGTTGTCCATCTCCATCACTGATAGATCAAGGTCTCCAGGGAACGACTGTTAGAGAATCACTCAGGTTGCCACCAAGTAGGACTTCTTTTACAAAGAGCTTGGTAAGGTAAGAAAACTCAGGAGATTGCTTCTGCAATAAAACAGTTGGTTCTTCACGGAGTGTGGACCAATTTGTCAAAGCACTCCAGGGGCTCAAATTCAGTTTTAAGATTGGCCATTTCAGTAGTCACTGTGTTTGACAGCCTGGAGAAGGAGATACAGTCTAGCCTTAGGAAGGGAAACCAGACTGATAGAGGCCATAGAATACCAGCTAAGAACAGATATGTGGAAATTAGACAAAAATAGGCTTGAACCAGGAGTCTGCCAGATCTAATGTAAGATTTTAAGCAACTTCCCTTCACAGAGAGATAGTAATAACTTTACCTTCTTTTTGCAACATTCATTGTTATAACAACAACAATACTAAAAATAATATATTTATTATAGGGTTGTTTGGATGATGGTGATAATATACTTAAAGTGCTTAGTCTAGTGCTTGGCACTTAACTCCTCATTATGCTAGCTATTACTGTGTATCATTGTTTTTAGTTTAGGGTGACTTCAAGAATGTATTTTTATCCCAGCTGCTCAAACTTGAACCTTCCTTGATCCCTTTCCCAAGGGCATCTATGGTCAGAAAAGAGCAAGAGGAGAAAGAAAGACACGGTTAAGGAGTTTTTTTCTTGTTAAAGTGGAACGTTTGAAAGGGGAGGGTGGCTCTTTTCAGAGCAAGTTCTCAACTCCTAGAAAGGGAAAAGATGCATTTGTTTCAGACGGAAGAAGCATGTGAGCCTCCTCTCTGCCTCCCTCCCTTTCTCCTCACTGCTATCTTGATTTCCTTTCTCCTTCCTTCTCTCCTTAATCTCTCTTTTTTTTTGAGGCGGAGTCTTGCTTTGTCGCCCAGGCTGGAGTGCAGTGGCATGATCTCCGCTCACTGCAAGCTCCGCCTCCCGGGTTCACACCATTCTCCTGCCTCAGCCTCCCTAGTAGCTGGAACGACAGGCGCCCACCACCTCGCCCGGCTAATTTTTTGTATTTTTAGTAGAGGCGGGGTTTCATCATGTTAGCCAGGATGGTCTCAATCTACTAACCTCGTGATCCGCCCGTTTCGGCCTCCCAAAGTGCTGGGTTTACAGGCGTGAGCCACCGCGCCCGGCCTTTAATCTCTCTCTTGCTCCATTTCTTCCTTGTTTCCTTTTCATCCTCCTTACTTTTATTTCTCTCCCTTTCTCATTCTCCTTCCTTCACCTTTTCTTCTCTTACCACAGCTCTAGGCTGAACTGCAGGCCTAGTAAGGTCATTTCTGTGAACAATTTAGAAGTATTCAGATCGATTATGAGTTGGCGATTTAAAAATGATCCAAAATCTTAGAGCCCAGAACAGCAATATGTGGCATAAATGTGCCCCTCACAGGAAATGTGAAGCAAGCACATTATCACAATAGAACATATCTCCTTATCTCTTTTAGTGTCTACAGGAAAAATGATGAGAACTCTGATCACCACACACCCACTGCTCCTGCTTCTATTGCTGCAGCAGCTGCTGCAGCCAGTGCAGTTTCAAGAGGTGGATACAGATTTCGATTCCCCAGAAGATAAAATGGAAGAATTTCGAGAGTATTTGGAAGAATTTCGTAGGACAGGGCCCACCAGACCACCTACCAAAGAAAAAGTCGAAAGACGTGTCATTATTGAACCTGGAATGCCATTATATCATAGGGACTACTGTAATGAAGAAATCATGAGAAAAAATGTTTACCACAAACAGCGTTGTGTGACAGAACATTACTTTCTCCTTATGCAATATGACGAGCTGGAAAAAATCTGTTACAACAGATTTGTGCCATGTAAGAATGGAGTTAGGAAATGCAACAGGAGCAAGGGTCTTGTAGAAGGAGTGTATTGTAATTTAACAGAAGCATTTAAAATACCGAGGTGTAAATATAAGTCATTTTATAGGAGGGGCTATGTCCTTATCACCTGTGCATGGCAAAATGAAATACACAAACTTATTCCTCATACTATAAATGATCTCGTGGAGCCACCTAAACACAGAAGTTTCCTCAATGAGGATGGTGTCTTTGTCATACTGCCCTAGCAGAGTGTTCTCTGAGAGCTTAGGGTGGGAGGAATAATCCTCTCCATACCGATCCTTATAGATCAAAGTTGAGAATGGTAATTTTGTTTCCATTCACTTTAATCACCCACTTTCCTTTCTTCCTTTCCCAACACCTCACAAAAGCACCATAGCCTCGGTTCACAGACAGTGCTCTGAGATGTGGTCTCATGCAGGTCCCATAAGTTAGCATGCCTTGAATGTGTTATGGATACAGATGCCTGCAGTGGAAGGATGACTGGCACCAAGAGGAAAAGGAAATGGTTGCCTGAAATGTGCTCCGAAGACACATCCATGTGATTCTCTAGTTCAGCAGAAAGAATAAAAAGTGCTTCAATCTAGTGCACTGGCTCTGGGATGGTGATGTGGGGTTTCTCAGTTTGGAACTTTCTTCCTTGTGACACAATTTGGCACCAACAGAACTCAAATCCCTTTCAGCCATTTATGTAATACATCTTTCTAGGGCTGTGTGTGTGGCGCTTTCACTTGTCTTATTCTTTCTTACAGGGCAACACGTAGATTCCGATGTGGGCAGCTCAGGATAAAGCCTTTCTATATTTAGGAAGGCAAATTCCCCAAAGGACATTTCTGTCGTCCAGTGTTATTTGTGTGAATTCCCACATCTTTACTTTAATTTAGCTTAGATATTTGTGTTTACAAAATTACAAACAGTTTCTCACTTTTAGAAAGAGTCACAATTATCTATAATTATTTTCCTCACTTTCTAGTAGATGTGGCTGCCTCTGAGAATACATCACCTCAAGGGAGCTGCTGGAGGATCAGTCTGATGAAAGAAAAGGAGAAAATTATCTCCTTTTCTTCAACTTTCTTTCTTTCTTTTCTTTTTTTTTTTTTGAGATGGAGTTTCGCTCTTGTTGCCCAGGCTAGAGTGCAATGGCGCTATCTTGGCTCACTGCAACCTCTGCCTCCCAGGTTCAAACGATTCTCCTGCCTCAGCCTCCCTAGTAGCTGGGATTATAGGCATGTGCCACCACGCCTGCTTAACTTTGTATTTTTAGTAGAAATGGGGTTTCTCCATGTTAGTCAGGCTGGTCTCGAACTCCCGACTTCAGGTGATACACCCACCTCGGCCTCCCAAAGTGCTGGGATTATAGGCATGAGCCACCGCGCCTGGCCTTCTTCAAACTTCTTAACATCATGTTACTATTATTGCTTAAAACTTTCTGAAACAGGGATAAATAGTAGTGATGGGGGATGGTAGGGAGGTGTCCATTCCTCTTTGCACGCTTTACCCAAGTCCAGTCTGTTAGTCTCCTCCCATTCCTTACCCCTGTCTTTACACTCAGAGCTGAGCTCCTAATTTATCAATAAGTTGATGTAAGTAAAGGCCTAGAACTAAGGACTGCTAGACCCCATTTTAGTGTCTAAGGGAGGAACACAGGAATTCAAGCTTCTAGGCACTTGTGATGGTTGATTTTATGTGTCAACTTGATTGGGTTAGGGGATGCTCACATAAACGTTTTTTTCTGAGTTTAAGTGTGAGAGTGTTTCTGGAAAAGGTTAGCATTTAATCCATAGACTGAATAAAGGTCTCTCTCACCCATGCAGGTGGGCATCGTCCTATCTGTTAAGGGCCTAAATGGAACAAAAAGGCAGAGCAAGGGCAAATGGACTCTCTCTGCTTGAACTGAGACATCCACTTTCTCCTGCTCTTGGACATCAGTGCTTCTGGTTTTTGGGCCTTTATATTCAGACTAGAACTTATGACATTGGTTCTCCAGATTCTCGAACCTTTGGGTTTGGACTGGAACTCCATCGCCAGCTTCCCAACTTGCAGTTGGCAAATTGTGGGGTTTCTCAGCCTCAATAATTGTGTGGGCCAATTCCACATGATAAATCTCTTTCCGTGTATCGACATATGCTCTATTGGTTCTTTTTCTCTGGAGAACCATGACTGATACAGCACCAGTCTTCATTTGGAGGCACATGGCTTTTCACTGAAATGTCTGAGTGAATAAGGTACCATCCAACTTTTAGAAATCTCCATGACAGCTTCTAAAACTCAACCTTTTGTACATGAGCTGAAGAAATTCTACACATGGGCTAGCCTGGCTGTGTTCTACAGACCATCTCTCTGGGTCATGCTCATCTCATTGATCTTGGAGGTTATACAACATAAAATATATTTATAAGAATACAGCCAGGCACAGTGGCTCATGCCTGTAATTCCAGCACTTTGGGAGGCTGAGGCGGGCAGATCACCTGAGGTCAGGAGTTCAAGACCAGCCTGGCCAAAATGGCGAAACCCTGTCTCTACTAAAAATACAAAAGTAGCCAGGCGTGGTGGCCCATGCCTGTAATCCCAGCTACTCAGGAGGCTGAGACAGGAGAATCACTTGAACCCAGGAGGCAAAGGTTGCAGTAAGCCATGATTGTGCCACTGCACTCCAGTCTGGGTGACAGAGAGAGACTCTGTCCACCCCCCCCAAAAAAAAAGAAAGAAAGAAAGAAAGAATATGGTATAGTACAATAACTAAGACATGAAAACAATCAGGATGAACTTTTCTTTCTCCAGAATAGAAAATCTGATCCAAATGCATTTTAGAATTAGAATCGTAGAAATAGAATAAGGCTCATTTGCACAGATTTCCCCTGTAGTCTAATATTGCACAATAAACCAAGATCCTGGCCCGTATCCACCAGATTCCCTATGATAAGTCCAAACCGTAATTTCAGCTTCACTGATTGTAATATTTCAAATAGTTATTGTCCAACATATATTAACACTGTATCCTCAATAATATCAAACTTCATTATTAAATTGAACATCGTACATGAGTTTGACTCACATGACAATTTATTATTTATGCTAGCATTCCTTGAGATGATACCCCATTAATTATTTCAATTGTAGTAAAATATACCTGACATAAACTGGCCACTTTAATCATGTTAAGTGTGCAGCTCAATAGCATTAGGTATATTCACATTGTTGTGCAACCATCACCATGATCCATCTCCAGAACTTTTTTCATCTTGCAAAACTAAAACTCTCTGCTCATTTAAATAATAATTCCCCTTTCAACCTTTCCTCCAGGTTCTGGCAACCACCATTCTCCTTTCTGTCTCTACGAATTTGACTGCTCCGGGGATACCTCATATAAGTAAACTCATACAGCATTTGTCTTTTTATGACTTGCTTATTTCACTTGGCCTGATGTCTCCAGGTTTTACTCATGTGTCGTAATTTTCTTCTTTTTAAAGGCTCAATAATATTCCCTTGTATGTATATAACACATTTTTTTATCCATTCATCCACTGAGAATGCTTAAGTTGTTTTCACCATTTGGCTACTGAAAATGTTGCTGCTATGAACATTGACAACATACAAATATCTGTTTGAGTCCTTGCTTTCTTTTTTTTTTTTGGTGTATGTATGCGTAAGTGGAATTGCTGGATCATATGGTAATTCTATTTTTTTTTTTTTTAAGAAACTACTATACTGTTTTCCACAGTGACTGAACCATTTTACATTCCAATCAGCAGTGCCCTACGGTTCCAGTTTCTTGAAACCCTCAATACTTCTTTTATATATATATAATAGGAATTTCAATGGATATGAAGTGGTGATGCAATATTAATTTTAAATTATACTTACTCAGTGAAAGAATATAGGCAAAGCATTCCCAAGAGTAAGAGAAACTATCAACACAGCATTTTGTTTCCTAACCAAAATAAACCCAACTGGTATTCTCTTTGAACATTTCTAATGTACATGCTGTTATTGAATAAATAAATAGGAGAAACGTCTAGTCCAATGAACGGACAGCACAGTCGTTCCTATCCCCTTGTGTTAGTGGAAGTTGTGAGAGAAAGTATAAATGCCGTGTTTGCTCATTTCTGCATGCCAGCGTAATTTCACAAAGCCCCTCACTCTATGACAACCTGCAGCTCTTTGAGAAGAATGTTTGAAGATACTTCAGAATAGAGCACACGGTCCCCATGCTCCATATCTGTTTACCTAACTCACTATATTCCTATGGACTGTAGAACATAGCCAGGCTAGCCCATGTGCAGAATTTCTTCAGCTCATGTACAAAAGGTTGGATTTCAGAAGGTGTCATGGAGATTTCTAAAAGTTGGATGGTACCTTATTCACTTAGGCATTTCAATGAAAATGACACCAGTCCTTGTGTTTTCTTACTCATAAAATAAGGTCTGACCAGGTTAGTGATTATACTTCTGTAATCTATAACCAGCTGTACTCTTACATCCAAATCTTGATGTGATTCTGCTTTAATGTAACTTCTGAGCAACTTTGATGTGATTTTGCATATATTGAATCTTTACCTCCTATAAATTGTGAACTAAAATACTGCATTGGAGCCTTCTGATAGAGCAACTCTAAAGAGCTGATGCTGAGCTATAGGCCTCCCAGCCTGCAGACCTCAGTAAGACTTCTGAATAAAACTAACGTTAATTATTTAAAAGTTGGATTTTTTTTCTTTAGTTGACAGGATTCTCCAGGGGAAGAGAATGAATAGGATAGATATATGCAAGGGCATTTATTAGGGAGAATGGGCTCACATGATTAAAAGCGAAGTCCCACAATAGGCTGACGGGCCATATGCAAGCTAGAGAATCATAGAAGCTGGTAGCAAGCCAGGCTGTTAGAGAAGCTTGTCTGAGGCTGAAGGCCTCAGAGCTGCCACAGGGTGGGGAGGTTGTGGGGAGCAAGCAGCCAATTGGATGGTGCCTGCCCACATTGAGGGCAGGTCTTCCTCTCTCAGTCTTATCTGCCAGTCTCCTCTGGAAACTGCCTCACCTGCCAATCTCCTCTGGAAACACCTCCACAGCCATCCCCAGAAACAATGCTTCTCCAGCCATCTAGGCATCCTTCAACACAATCAAGCTGACACCTAATTTAACCATTCACACCTTTCTATTCTAGCACAATATTCTTAGATGACATTAGGAAAAGAATAAAACCAAAGCTAGTAACTATCCCTGTGCTGCTCCTTGAAAATCGATGACACTAAATTGAATCCTATTCATTTGCCCTGTAATATTTTGGTACAAGGTTGAATTCATATTCCTGATAAATTCAGAGCCAATAACTTTTATTCATATATATATGTGTGTATATATATATATGTGTATATATATGTGTGTGTATATATATATGTAGCAGTCACAATACCTCACGCTGTATCTTCTTTATGATATAAAATTTTTGAAGTTTTTTTATACACCCTTTGAGTTTTCATCATTACCTCTTATGTCACAAGTAAGGGGGTCATATTCTCTGTCCACTGTTTCCTGTTTTTCTAGTCTCACAACAAACAAGGATAAAAAATGAAATCACGTATTTTATGCAAAT